CTTTCGTTTCCATCGCTTTATTATGCGGTATCGAAATTGAATCAATTTCTCTTTCCCTATCTTATTTATTTTTTTTCTTCCTTTTCTTATCATGATCGATTTTAAGCAATCTTGAAGAGACAATATTGAAAATAAAATTATTAATATTAAATATATTATGAATAATAAATAAATGTATAAATATATATATATATATATATAAATAAAATATGGTTTTTGAAAAAACTTAATTTATAGTAATAATAAATTCACAACGTACTTTATTACAAATTTTTGAATCAAACAATACAATATAATCTATGTGAGCGTACGGGCAGGCACGTATATATGTATTTTTCATTCACAACACGTATTCGATTGAGATTACAACAATTGAAAGAATTTTAACTTAAACGATATTATGTGATCAACATTTTTCCACATTTTTCTTTTTTCTTTCTTTCTTTTTTTTTTTATTTTTTTTTTTTATTTATTTATTTTTTTTTTTATAGGATCAAACTCTTAAAAAATTGTTTACCTTGATACGCGTGCATAACGCGTATTACAGTTTTTATATATATAATATGAAAAGAAAATAATAAAGCAAGAAAAAGAAAAAACGGAACAGTACGCGCTGTCGCTGTGATTTAGTACTAAAATGATAATATTATTTTGGAATAGAAACGCTTCCTTATAATTAATATCTACTAATCGTGTCTAAAAGACATTGTAAAAGAAGCCTTTTTATGGCACTCGATATATACGTTGTATACAATTCAACTTAAAAGTACTTACTTTCGATACAGCATTGTGTCGCTTAATATTTTGAATCTATAAAAAAAACCGTTATTAATTGATAAGAAAGATTAAATCGATAAAAATTATATTCATATGCACATAAAAGATGAATGTCGTCATAACGGGAGAAGAATTTAATGAAACGTTTTTTTTTTGGTTTTTTCTGCAATTATTCTGCGTAACGCATCCGAAAAAAAAAAAAAAAAATTCGAAAGAATCGATAACAAAGTTGTCAAGAATACTTAGATTTTCTCTTTTTCTTTTTTCTCTCTTTAAGGAAATTATAGATTTAGATAGAATTTATTAAAATATGACAAAATTTACGATTAAATGTTTTAACTTATATTTGAAAACGAGGGAGTAATAGGAAGAGAGACAAGGAAAGAATCGCCTATCTGGTAAGAAAGATAGAATGTTATACCGAACCAAGTTATAATTTTAAAAAATTAAGTAAATTAGCGTTTTGGTTTACAAATTTTTTGCATAAAATTATAAAGATTTATATATGATCTTTTTTCCTTTTCCAAGAAATAAATTACGTACAAGGAAACATACGTAATATCAGAATTCGAGAATTTTTATTATATTGATTATTCTTTCTAAGATAAAATATTTTTCTCCTGTATATTTTTATACATTACAAAAATAAAAAAAAAATTTCTTGTTCCATATAAAGATTTACTGTACGTGGATATCCGGGTATAAGTAATCATATTTATACAGAATGTCAAAAATATATATTTAAGAAGTTAAAAATTATGAAATAATTAAAATCTATATATATAAGTAAAAATATATTTTTTTATGTAACCAATATTCTAGATAATATAATATTTCTAAATTTTTTTATTTCTTCTTTTTTTTAACATCCTGTAAATGTTAAATACGCATCATCTGTATTCTTTTTTTTTTTTTTTTTTTTCCGTAAAATAATCTTGGTTGGTTAATACACAAGAATATATCAAAATATTTCATTCGACCGAATGTTTATTATTCGGAATTCAATATGTGTGCGTGTATGTTGTGTGTGTCTGTGCGTGTGTATGTGTGTGTGTGTATGTATGTAATAGAACATAAAGTATATATAGATAAAACAATTACAAACATTCTCCCTTCCTCTCCTCGTTTTCTTCAATTCTCCTCCCTTTCTTCGCTCACTCATCATCATTTCTTATTTTTTTTCTTGCTCACAGAAAATGCTAATTTGAAAGAATTTGTCAATGCTTGCTTGTAGGAACACAAGATACTTAACGAATGATTTTCTTTTCTTTTTTTTCATTTCTCTTATAACAATTTCTTCTTCGATATTTATGTAAATTGCTAATCTTTAATTATAATTGATGTAATTGATAACTTTTGTCTTTTTTTATTTCTTTTTCT